AGTTCCTTGATTAGGACACGGTTTTCTGCTTGTTTTTCTGGTGTTAATCCCTGCTTATCTGGGTGTTGGCTGCTGGAGAGGATGTGTTCTGGTCTTTCTGTTTTCTTCTTAGCTTTCTTATTATCTCTTTTGAATGGTGTGTAAATGTGGTTTATCTCTATGTGACTACTGATGGCTGATTTGTCTGAATGCCAAGCTTCCAGGAATTACCTAGCATTTTTGGATTTAGCTTGGTCTAGGATGTTCAGAGTTTCCCAGCTGAAACTGTGGTTGAGTCTGTCCATGTGTTGTGAGAGATTAAGGAGTTTTCATTGTGTTTTCTGACTGCTAGTTGGTGTTCATAAATGCGCTCTGCTAGTCTTCTGCCTGTCTGTCCTACAAAGTGGCTGTTACAGTCCTTACACTGTATGTTGTAGATGACTTCATTATTTTCATTCTAGAGAGAATCATGTAAGTGCAGCATTAAAGAATTTGGGACTAAGCCACTGGCCCAACTATGATAAGGCACACAGATCAACCCATACCACTGTTTGGAACAACTGGAAAGTGTACACTCTAAACTCTTTCAAACTATTCTGTTTCTGGATGGGTGTCTCCTTGATTCCAATCCAATGCCCTGTTATGCCACACGCTATATGAACTGTTCTAAAAAAAATAATATTACAGCACTACAATATTTTGACTATTTGTCACAGCTGAGGAATGACACGCTAGCAAACATATTCATTCTCATGATTCATTTCTCCTATTTTTGTTGATTAACAAATGATCAGGATTTTTTACTTTCATAAATTGATAAAGGCAGGAGCCCAGTTGTTCAAGAGCCCTTCAAGAAGAAAGATTGAAGCCCTTCTTCAATTGTTGATTATGTGCCATCAAATTGTTTTCAGCTCCTAGTGACCACGTAGATAAATTTTCTCCATGACAATCTATTCCTAACCTGGTCTTTCAAGTCTTCCAATGTTGCACTTATCACCACTGTAACTGAGTCCATCCACCTTGCTGATCATATTCTTCTTCTCTTTCCTTCCACCTTTCCCAGGATCAGAGCCTTCTCTAGAGAGCTACATTTTCGCATAATATGTCCAAAGTAGGATAATTTGAGCCTGTCATTTATGTCTCAAGTGAGAACTCTGGGTTGATTCATTTGATGATCCATTTGTTCGTTTTCTTAGCTGGTTTGTTTTCTTGGCTCAAGCGTCTTCTCCAACACCAAAGTTCAAAAGCATCAATACTCTTCCTATCCTGTTTTTCAAACTCCACTTCAAGACGATATAGTTCCATTCAATGCTAGTTGCTGTTTTGTGTGGCTAACATTTGGAGGCACACATGTAAGATTTCCAAGCTGTAACCACATTTGGAAACAGTTAAAATCAGGACTCCGTATTCACTTCATTATCCTGCCTTCTCTGATTTTGAGAACTGTGGTGGGGCGGGATGCCTATTATTGCTACTAAACAAGATTTGACACTATTCTGGTAAAACACTGACAGCTAAGTTAATATTCAGCATATTTCTACTAATTTACAGTATTATTCCACAAAAATTGTGATCTAATTATAGACCACTACAGTTACTTTTTCTCATGTGCTTGAAGAACTAAGTTTTTGATAAGAAACATGTGAGAGGCAACCCAAGATGACAGTTGTTATTTCCTGATAAGCTTCTGACAACTATTCAGTATCTTGCTAAACATCTTAAGATATGGAGCTGGGCTTATGGTTCTAATGGATACATTGTATTCATGACTTTTTAAATAAACATCATGCAAAATGGCCATGTCCTACAGTTTCTTTGCTACTCTTACCCTTTTTGGTTATGCAATTGTCTACTACAATATGTCCACCTTTCTATCTTGAATGAGAATGAACTAGTCAATTTTTATGTGTTTGATTCACAGAGAAATTCTCTTACTTGTCTATTGGCAATTTTATACCGTTTGTTTCTATAATACTATTTACATTGCTTCCCAGAACAAAGAAAGTAAAGAATATACTAATATGGTGATCTATCCAAATAGTATAAGCTGGATTTCCCAAGTTAACATCCTCTAATGGGCAAACCCCCTGCCCCCAGAGGAGCCATAACATTTGCATAATGTGTGCAGAAGTGGCCACTTGCCCTCCCAAAATTGGGGACCCCTGACATGCACTTGGCTTAAAAGAGCCTTGATGGCATCTGGTACTTTCATGGTCCCAAAACATAGGAAACTTTCATGGTCCCTTCCATCAAAGGAAGGATCTAGCAGTAAGAAGCAACTCTGATCTCCCAGCTGAAAAACTTGCATCATCTGTCTTGATTAAGACATGAAATTACAGTGACTGAGACTTATATATATGTACATTTGGCTCACATTTCTCATCAGTAAAGTAGGATGTATAAAGATTTCCTGTTGAAAAGCAAGTATTTCAGTTGGAATTTGTAAATGTAAATCAGGTTTGACCCCATTGCTGACGTACATATGGTTGGACTATGTTCCCCAAGCACAAGTTACAGCTTTGTCTTACCATATGCTGTCAGTGACAATAAAACTGTCCCTTTTAATTACATTTCAAAACAAATTGGACAATCTTTGTAAGTAAATATAGTTCTCATTTCATAACTCAAATTTCAAATTATGAGTGACTTGAACAGTTCTGTTTCTGCAATAAAATGGAACAGTTTCAACATTTAATAAAAATTCTCACCCCTATGGGTGGTACGTGTCTTCCTCAATCTTGGGTCCTCTATAAGAAGCCTGGGAGTTTGAGGGTTCTGTGTAGTATCTTAGCTGTTCCTAGCACTGCACTCTTCTGGACAGAGCGCTCTGATGTTGCTCCTGGGATCTGTCACAGCCACTCCCTCAGCTTAGGAGTCACAGCCCCAAGTGCTCCTACCACCACTGGGACCACTTTGGCCTTTA